TTTAAATGATACCTTTTTTTTTAGATTGCCATCATCGATCGACAATAGCATCGCAAACCCCCTTCCTATCAATAACGATCAAATCTCTTCGCGATAACTTCATAAGATTGCCATCAATGCAGGACGCAAGTGGCTGTTTCAATAACCAAGCATACTCCCTCCGAGTGCTCTCGTAACATTGATATTTTCCCGGGGATTATATATTTAATTCAATTGGGGTGAGCAAAAAGATTAAAACCCCAGTATGCCTCAAATAAAAACAATTATGAGGGGGCAGCGCGACGAATTGCCAACTAAGAATACATTTTCTCTGCGTTTGTTTCACGGGGGAGGGAATGGGATATTGTATCTCCTTTTCTCACAATACACATCAAGACGATAGTTGAATAACATATTTCCTAAATAATCTAACTAGAAATATTCTGAATATATTGGTCATTTGTCAATTAAATAAACGCTGTCATATTTCATTCGAACGTACAAGACGGTCCACGATCAGTACAGATCGGTTACTCAGCCGCTGTCGGATCTCACCACCACTACAGTATCTTTTTTCTCCCCACCCCTATCCAATCAGATTAATCCTTTGAACATTGTGGTGTAACCATTTGCACATTTTAATTATTTTTTGTTTTTAATATTCGTTTATTTTGACCTATTTATTATTAAAAAAATATCAGCAAGCCCCACAGTCATTGCGAATGTGACGCGCCGTGTGGGACCCACGCGACTTAAACAACGCGTGCAATATGCTTTGCTTGTTGGTTTTTCTGTTCACACAAAACTATGACGCTTTAATTAATCGAATTAGGTTAAATTCGGATGATTTTTACGACGCTGTTTATTTTTTTCTGGCGCAGTCAGTACCCGCTAACTTCAAAACGTTATTTTTTGTTCTTGTATAAACCATTTTGTCTTGCCACGACATTCACGACATGGCGACTACATGTCTCTTCTGAAGCCTCGCTCGACGAACACAATAGACCACTCGGAACGAATTATCCCCAGTTTTAACGTAATCTGGGCCTTGAATTGAAAAACAAATATACCAAATGGTTCAACACCTCCCCTTTTAACGCTGTGCCCGGCAGCAAATTTCAAAACATATGCCACGGCGTTTAGTACCGTTCAGTAGCGTGTACCACGACGACGTGTGGAAGGCAATAGAACTGACTGTTTGAAGTTTGTTTCCAATATTTTTCTTCCATACTACTTGCCACTGTATCGTGGTTGACTCTGAACCAAAAAAAGATGCTTTCGTGAGACACAATGGAATAAACTTCGCAATTATGCATGCATTTTGAATTACAAATACGTAGTAGTAAATCTCAGCGCATGCGCGATTACGATGTTCATTTTTTTTCATCATGAAACCTATAATATTTTGTGTGAGACAAAACAATATTAGGGTTGCATTACACCATAATCTAATGTGAATCAAGTCGCAAGATTTAAACAAATATACATAGAACTTCTCCGGGTTTTTCCTGTGTATTATTAATATTTCGCCGAGTGCAAAAACCAAACTGGTTTCCATGGAAACAACGACTTTGCGATTACTCTGTAGCGTTAAATGGCAGAATTAAGGTTCATGATTAAAAAACCAGTTGGAGTAACCATGTTTTTTTTTCTACGGAATTTAAAACACCCTATCACAAATAACAATTCAGCAAAGTTTCAGAACATTTCCGTTTTCGAGCCGAAATCAGAGACGGAACATGACTAGCAATCGTACTGCGCCTCAGTTCTCGATGGGAGCCACGTGCCGACTCGTTAATAGTTGCTAAAACTATGTCATCATAATTTTTCAGACCAAACTACAAATGGGAAAGTCTGGTTTCCAGACACAGGCATACTACCTGAGTCGTTTACTAATGATCCGTAACATCGGCACGTGAAACCCTCGCATTAGCGTCAAGTTCGGGCGTTTCTGATACAGTCACGGCCACACAGCGCATATGCAAGTGAGACGTCCTTACGTATAACGCGTCTAGAGGAACACTGAAGGTGGGCTTGTGCATGATCTCCAGTACTAATGGTTCTGAAAATATGGGAACAATTCCGCCAGTTGAAAGAGACCGAAACTGTACTTTAGAAGATAACAGACGCCCCCATAAAGACTGGAAAATTCTTAACGACTCTTTATTGTTCCTAATAGCCCGATGTGTGTGAGTTTACGCCGTGAATACCGTCCGCTATTCCACACATTAGCATTTACTGTTCAGTTTGAAATCAAGGTTGATAAGTTTAAGTGTCGTATACCACAGTTTTTACACCATGATTTTTTCAGAAAGAGAGAGAGAGAGAGAGGGGGGCGAGGGGAGAGGTGGTGGTACAACTGTGAATCATGAATAGGAGTTTGTTTTTATGAATAAAAATAAAAAATAAAATATATGTTTGGGTGTTTGTAAATGTATAATTGTTGATTTAACGTATTTTGCTTTTCTCAACACTATTTTTTTTAGAAAGAGAGAAAGAGAGCGAGGTGGTACAACTGTGTGACTGTGGTTTGTATTTATGAACAAAATAAAAATAAAATATTTATTTCAAGTTGGGTGTTTGTAAATGTTTAATTGTTGATTTAACTTACTTTGCTTTTCTCTTGTTTTGCAATTCCGTTGATTTTTTTAAAAAATAAACAAAACAACAATGTTATGACTAGTATTGTTTTCGCAGTACGTAAATGGTGATAGAAATACTGTTGTAAGGAAGTAGACAGCCCAAATAAAGAACGACCCAGCGACGCATTGAACGCGTAAGATAGATGGCATTGATCAACAATAGACGCGACAATACAAATTAATATTAAACGTATCTGAAGATAGTGAGGCACTGTAACCCTATGTGGCGAACAAAGAACAGCCATATCCACGCCAGCGTCAGCGTCCATACAGTGGGTGGTTTCACGCAGTTCAATCAGAAACCAGTAAAATTGTAAACAATCACGTTCCAGTAAATACCACTCCTTTTATCTTTAAAATGGTGAAAACGTAGTCTCGAGTAAGAATAATGGAAACCCAACTGGGGGGACGACCGGCATCTACATGATGAATCACTGAATGACCCGAGGTGACCCCACTGTAATGACGATCGTCGTTAAGTGAGCACGATACTACCGACATACAAATTGTCGTCTATGATACCACTTACCCATTATCGGAAACAGCGAGAAATCACCCCCCCCCCCCTTTCCAAAAGTGCCAGCCTCGTTCCAGGCATTCGAGTCGGACAAAATGGTTGCGAAATGTCTAAGACGCAGAAGATATGAATCAAAATAAAACAAAATATCGGGTGCTTGTTGAATAAATATTGAACTGAAACAAGCACATACCGATAGCGTTAACAATGATCCGTCCCTGTGCACGTAACAATTTACGGTTTTTGACGGTTCGGATTTTATTATCACTTTTTATAGTCTGCCAGACCTATCGTCCCCGGCATAGTCTATTTTCATTCGCTGAACTGTGCCCCGCGACACAATTTCAGACAATTATTATTAGTTTTGCAAGTAATACGTAACCGCTCATTCCATTCAATACCGTGATTTATGGCCGTTTTACGGTGACGGTAGCAAGAGAATTCCCGCCAAAATTACGGTCATCAACCTTCTTTTTTTAATGATGTGGCGCAGTAGGGTCACGTGGTATGTCTCCATTCATAAAGCCAATACAGGTGACATGCATTGAATACGTAATAAGGCTCCAGGGTATCCTCGCGCAGAAAAGCATCATCAGTTATGTGGGGATGAACGACCCACTTCAGGTTGTCACGTGACTTAATATGTCGGCTTATCATCCTGCGTTGTTGTTATCGTTAGAACAGTGAGAATGCCTGTGCTTTTCAGTTGAAATTCTTGAAACATGTCGTTACGTCCCCAAACATGAAATTTAATTATATCGCAATCTGAATTCGGATGAGAATTTTAAAGGTATTTAATCTGTTTTAAAAACAGGCTTTCTACGAGCTCAAATCACGTGCCACGGTGACATACATCTCTTATTTGTGTATTTGAGTGTACCCGCCGGGTTTAATTTGGAGCCTATCCACAACTTTAGTGATAATGCGTAAAGAGACATTTGTCTGTTCGTGATCAATCGAACTGCCCGTGTTCCGTATTGCATTAGAAAACTGCATTTTTAGAACATTTTCAAAATTTCTGAAACGTTGAACAATTTTAGAAAATGCAGTTTTCGCGATGTGGAAATCTCAATTTTATTCAAACCCAGTGTTTTAAGTTATCTCGCCAGACTAAATAAATAAATACAAGTATTTCACCAATTGTAAAGACGTTCAGAAGCATAGTCGAATATTGTAGAACCTGTTGAAATAGCTATATTCAATTTTAGCGAATTTAACTGAATGCGTGAATTAACAGAATCCTAATTCTGCTAAAAATCTCAGTGTGATTGTAGTTTAAATTAACAGCCTGTTGAATTAGCCGCGAAATTATGCATTACCTTATTAGCTAAGATATCACGTTAGCTAAATATAAATATATATATATATTTTCACAGTAGACAAGGGGTAAATTGAAGCAATCTCCCGTGGGCGCGAAGGTCTTGAAACATAATGACGGTGTTCTAATGCCATTATATTTACCAAGTACCATTTTCGTCTATTTTACAGATATCCAAACTTGATAGCAGGTTCCGGCATATCAGACGATTTCTTTGCACGGCGAATACTCACAAAAATCTCTGATAAATAAAATAAACAAATTTAACTAGAAATACACTGTGTTGTTCGGGTGAGGACGATGGAAGAGCGGGATATACGGCTTCTCGAAAACTCAGACAACTAATACAGTTGCATTAAAGGGCGACAGTCGTCGTGCCGCGTCCTGTTCGATATGGGACTCATAGCCACGTATACAACGCGTGTAAAATACATTGTTTATTTACATGAAATTCGAACACGCGCTGCGCGACGACCACCGCGCTTTAATAATATTATTAGTTATCTAAGTCGAAACTTAGAACAAAATACAGTAGTCGTATAAATTATAGGTAAACAGAACATGTCTTTACTTCGAAAAAAACAACAGAAACACAGTAAACATTTAACCTTCCTCCATTCACAAAGAAAGCAACACCCGTAATGATAGCCTGTACAGCCGAGCGCAAAGCAGCCATTGAATTCCCCCAGACCACGTGACCTTGTTAAAAAGGGCTTTCGATACTGCTACCAAAAGAGCGACCGTAAAACATTAAACAAATTCAAAATGTTCGCTATCAAAAATTAAATTATAAATATACGTTTTTCTAAACGATAATTAAGACCAGTTAAACTGAAAATATTCACATAGTTCTGTACGTAAACAAATTACGTCAAGGGATGCGTAGGAGGCAGACGACATTTTAAGTAAACAAAATTTGAATAAACCTGAATAAAAATAAATGGTGCAGAGTCACGTGACATTTCAAATAAACTACTACCCCTTACATGTCACATTGACGGATAAGGTAACTTGATTTACATATATCGCAATCTATTTGCCATATAAGGTGATCTACACACCTTATATGGCATTTAAATTACTTTATATGGCTTATTTGAAGACCTACGTGTATAATATGGCAGTAAGGGACCCAACAAGCATAGATTAGTTTTTTTTTTACTTATTATTTTATTTTTTTTACAAAGCCAATATAGACACATCCAGGGCACATTATAATCGCCGCCACTACTATTACAATTACGAGGATTCTCGTACAATTTAAAATAACCCAAGATACCCACAAACAAGAATACAAATTAAAATTAGACTACGTAACATGCTGAGTAGTCTTTGAAATGTTAGTCACATGTCAGTCACATGTCAGTCACATGATTAAAAGTTCTCTCTCCCTCTCTTATAATCTGACCATGTAGGTTTTTTTTAAATATGCAGGAAAAACATCACTTTAAAATAAGTTCATTTTACATCACCATGGCAACTCCACGCACATTCTGTTCATTGTTATACGACTGCGTTATACTGAATAGTTTATCTCGTTCCAGCGTTCGTCATGTGACAAATATGGCATGCGTGCACACGGTGTGTTTAGAAGACATTTGCGCACCGACACCGGAATTCAAACATCAGAGCGAGTCATCCAGCAACGCCGGAAGTAATACTAAATAGTTCAAAGTTCAAAGTTTAACAATGTCTTTGATAATTAGTGAAGCATAGTGGCATTTCGTTGGTTCTGCTTCTTCAATTTCATCCTTCTATTTTGGAACCAAATTTTGACCTGTCGTTCGGTCAGGTTCAGTAATCTCGCGATATCCACCCTTCGCTCTCGCGTTAGGTACATGTTGAATAAGAACTCCTTCTCCAACTCGAGTGTTTGGAATTTGGTGTAGGGACATCTCTTTTTGCGCCCAGAAGCTGTCGTTGTCAACCACGTAGGTTGGTCGCCAATATCAGACGGTGAATTTCTGGTCACTGCAAGAAAAATAAAAAAGACGTTAATTTGCATACTATGAACTTAAAAAAAAAATGCGCTCTTTTCCTACCATCTTTCCATCTAGATGGGCTTGTTAGCATCGGAAAAACTTCATACTATGCCGTAAAAGGGTATTCATTACGTTACTAAATATAGAATACTGTCGTAAATGTCTGAGAAAGGCAAAACATTTTTTTTTTATTTTATTTAAAAAAAGACAAACTCTATTGTAGTAAATGGTAGTATGTCGGTAATGTATGTTATTATAATCTACGAAATAGATGATTTGTGCTAGTCACGTGGTACGCAACCAGTGTCAAGGATACGCAACTGCAGTTAAAGGGTACGCAACTGCAGTTAAAGGGTACGCAACTGCAATTAAAAGCTACGCAACTGCAGTTAAAGGGTACGCTACTGCAGTTAAAGGGTACGCTACTGCAGTTAAAGGGTACGCTACTGCAGTTAAATGGTATGAAACTGGTGTCCGAAGGGTTACAGTCAAAGTCACGCAACTGCAGTTACAGGGTATATGCAACTGCAGTAAATGGGTACCCTCCAGTCAATATGTGTCCAACCACTGTCAAGGCTACGTGACTACAGTCAAAAAGTGTTGCTTGTCCAAGTATTGGTTTAAGGTGGGAGAGTCGTCACCTGCACACGCGCCCGAATTGAGTTTTTAAGCGACGACAAAAACACACACTAAAAACGCACAGGCTCATGGGTAGACGCTTGTTTGTCAACAATGACACGCTATGGCCATCTGACGCATGCACGGGAGATGACTCCCCCGCTTTAATAGTGAGAGTTGCAACCTCGGCGAATACGGTCTGATCTACATCCACATTTCTATTCTCGATGAAGAAACACCAGATAAACGTTGAAGAATATGTCATCTGCACCACGTGACCATTCATCGATCACGAAACTAATCATTTGACATATCATGATACGTATTTCACCCTAGAGGAGTGGAGATAGAACTATGCACAACGTGTGCTTGTTTGTTTTTTAACTGCTCGGGTAAGTGTTTCAGGCAACATAGTCCAATTCTCTGCTTTCATTTCCCTTCACCAATAACACAGGCAGTGTGTACACTACTTTTAGTTATCTATTTCTGTGTTGCACTGTTTCAGTTGTGTAAACCATTGAATGGACTGGAGCAGGTGACGGATCATGACAAGTGATCACTCCACGACAGATGGTACCGTTATCTATACCGTTATCGAAGAAAACACCCCCCCCCCCCCAAAAAAAAAACTATCACCATATTTGTAGAAATAGTCAAACAATAGAAAGTGTAGATGTTTTTCGGGAGAAAAGGAAGAAAATAAATAAATAAATAAATAAATAAATAAATAAATAAATAAATAAATAAATAAATAAATAAATAAATAAATAAATAAATAAATAAATTAAATAAATAAATAAATAAATAAATAAATAAATAAATGAGCGCACTCGTTGCAGTAACTTCATTCACTCTTCGCGTTATTCAATGACCAGTGTTTCTACTGTAAAAGCAATCTTGGTGGGAATTTTGATTGAAACGACCCTTTGTTACAATAATCTCCCAATATTGGTAATTCGGTATTTCACTTGCAATCCATTATGTACAATCATAGTCTTCTGATTGATTTTGACGTTGCTATGATTAATAGGTTCAGAGGTCAACCCAATAATGACCTTTGATTTGTGACCTTTATTAGATTCTACTTTTGCGTTAAGTAGTCGAATAGAAAGATAAACAATTCGATACTTCGCTACACTATTACCTTCACCGTCGCTTAGTCTTACGCCCCAGTCTGCACACCGGGAAACCGTTTACATTGTTTCACGCTGAATTGCTGTCAGCCAGGTCACATTGCTCTCAGTGTGGGCAAGGCTATGTATGTATGAACGCTATGCGCGTAGACAAGAATTTATCGCCTGCCGCCCGGCTGACGTCTTCATCAATATAGGTCGAACTACGTGAAGAGCACGCGCCAATAATTTTATATAAACAAATATCTACAACCCCGCTGATTGTCGTTACCATCGACGGTCTCACTTAGAACACCGACCCAAAATCCTTTTGTTGTTCATTTGTCGCATTTGTCATTATTTGTTTTATACATTGACATATGTCTTAAACTTTTAGGATTACAAACATGTTATCAAATAATGACCCTAATTGTAAACTTTATTATCGCTTGTTAGTAATTTTGTTTTATTGTCGAGTTTGTTTATCTAATTACATTCCTACCAGGCGGGACGCTAAATATAACAGCAGAGTCATCTTATAAGTATAACCCGCATTTATCATTTTCATACTAAAATACGGGTCACACTATTTAATATGAAGTTAGAAAATATAACATTATTGTCTCAGTTCAAGTGATATTGAATAATTTAACGACGGATGTTTTTCATAATTTTACCGGACACTGGCCCACTGAGGGTCACTTTAAAGTTGGTTTCTACCGATCTGTTTAAAGATGACGATCGATTGTGTCGTACAAACCCCATCCATGCTTGGAATTATGTGGCTGGACTATACGACCGAACCTCTTATCAAATGACAATTCAAAAGACGGGATGGTCGTCCCGCCGCGCATGTGCGACATTTGTGTTGATAAACATTAATTTTCCCACAATCCAATGCGCTCTTCTAATGGAAATCACGAGAATGTGTTTTGACAAAGGCGTAAAGTGCACTAATTACCGCCGGTGACTCTTTCGATATCTTCCAATCACCGAATAAATTACCTAATTAAAACTTAGTAACGTCTCAGTTTATACTCGTTGGTCTGCGCAAAAGTCAAAGTCGCCATCTTTGTTTATTTATACGAGTCCCATATTGCGCGCATGCGTGATGCGACGACCGCCGCCCTATAATACGCTACGCAGGCCTACTCAAACACAAGCACTTTCTCACAGACGTGGACGCCAACTCGGATTTAAAACCATCAACGTACGACCCGGGAATTACTTTCTTTGTGTAGCGTGATTGATATACCTACAGCTTTATTAATAATAATGAAATTTAAGAAACAACAATGGTCGACCAGGTATTTAGCTAATTAGATTAAATCGACAACTCGCAGCCTCGTTCCCAGCACACAAAAAGTTAGCTTCCATGACTATATTAGAGGTACAAATAAATAAATAACAAACAATTAATAATAAATAATAAATACGCTCTACAGCTCTACAGGCAATCTGGTATTGCGCCCCGGGCAACCCCCGTATGCTACTCTTTATTGCATGGCAGACTCACCACCTTGCGGTAGCCTCTTTGCGGCACCTGGCGGTTTTCACATAAGGGAGCCTCTTTTCAGTGGTGTATTTCAGTATCAGATCCCCCAGCTCTGTTTCTAGAAAAGCCAATCAAATAGATTCTACCGGGACTGGGTGTGACGTCACAAGATGGCGGACTACCTTTCCGACTGTAAATAGAACTGAGAAGTTTCTCATTTGAAGTGTCGGTCGGCGTGGATAGTTGTGTCAACAGAACAAGCAGACGTTCCTAAATCATACAGTGATTGGTTATATTTTTTGTGACGTTTACACGTGAATATACGAATGATAGTTTCCAGGCAGCACGTGTCTAGCTGAAAGGTACGGTGTCGTGCCAAATTTGACCATAATATACATTACTGTGTGTGAATTTTGTTTTATTTATTTATTTTATTCATAACTGTTCCATCAGGAAAAAAAGTCCAATTAAAAACATCTGATACAAATAAACAAAAAAAAACATAACAAAAACAATACTACACAGAAAAGTAAAAAAGTATCGGTAAAATCAAAAGAACTTGAAATCATTAGCAATGCTATTAAAAAGCTCACACATACGTGCTAAAAGAATCCTTTTATGAATACAGGAAATGCCCGATTTAAAATAGACGTTCTTCCTGAGAACCCGCTCAGAAACATAAATAGGATTTTCCCCCAAAATATATGAGGATTCGTATGTGTTGTTGGTACATTTGAATAGAAATATTGGGTCTAGAACATGTCTACGAAATTCAAGCGTAGAATTCTAAAATGTTTGCATCAATCAATTATATATAAGAGTAGAAAGGTATTTAGTAACTTTGTAGATAAATATTTGATAAATATTTGGATTTGTGCTCGTTTGAAAGAGTCTCACCTCGGTCAAATTTTCTCTTGCATAGATCAACGAGTACAAACTGAGACGTTACCAAGCTTTAATTAGGTATTTTAGGTGATTGGAAGGCATCGAAAGAGTCACCGGTGGTGATTAGTAAAAAATTTGAAAACTCAAGTTTATTTTAAATAGTCCAAATGAGCAGAACTTTGCACCCCTGATATAGACCTTGAATAACATTCTCTCGATTATTAATAAAAGCGAATTTGTCTGGAAAGTCGCAAGCAGACACATTTTAAACAAACGCCGCGTAGCAATGGCCCGGTTACGAATGCTTTTAGGCGAAATTGAACTTGGCCCGGAGCTTAGAAGATAACTGAATTTATGCATAAATGGGGCGGTAAATGACACGCAAACGTGATCTCCTGCTCGAGACTTGATCCCTTGGATTTAAAGAGCACGTCGACCGTGATATTGGGGATGTACCTGCCTTCATATTATATCTGTTTCCGCCTTATTTAACGATAATTAGACCCAAGTGCACAATTTGGTACTCTAACTGAAGGCCACACATCCTGGTACTCTAACTAAAGGTCACACATCCTGGTACTCTAACTAAAGGTCACACATCCTGGTACTCTAACTAAAGGTCACACATCCTGGTACTCTAACTAAAGGTCACACATCCTGGTACTCTAACTAAAGGTCACACATCCTGGTACTCTAACTAAATGTCACACATTCTGGTACTCTAACTAAAGGTCACACATCCTGGTACTCTAACTAAAGGTCACACATCCTGGTACTCTAACTAAAGGTCACACACAGCGGTCATAGCTCCTGGTCCTTTTCGAGAGTAAAGCTTCATTTGAAGTTATGTCCACCAGCCTGTCTCAAATATGTTGTATA